AGAATTGTGTCAAGCTGAATATACAGTCAAATCAGACATTTTTAGTTTAGGAATCATTTCAATGGAATTGTTTGACATATCCTTAGAGTATGTTTTCAATGATAATATAATTTTAAATTATTATAAAATTTATTTTTAAATTTTATTTCAGTGACACTGAACCAGTTAAATGCAATTATGGTTTATTTCAAAGTAACATGGACAATCTATTAAATATTTTTAACGCAATGGTTTCGTATGGACCTGATATGAGACCTGGATGCAATGAGATCTTAGATAGTTACAATAAATGGTCACTGAGCAAGGACCTAATTGAATCACATATTAATAAATTTAATCAATTAATTGAGCAATTACAATTTGACACCTACTCTATATTTACCGAAATTATATCACCCAGCAAACTGAAAACATTTAATTATAATTACATTGATATTAATGCAAATGAAAACACGAAAAGAAATAGTACCTTGCTAAGAAACTCAAAACCTGTCACAAAATCCTCTAAACCTCCGTTAAAACCAAAACCGAAATTAAATTTAAATATTAAATCATATTCCAAATGAAGGTATGATTTTGTAATTAAATATGAACATGATATAATTTAATGTTAAATTTTTATTTTTAGGTAAAACTCTCAGTGCATTGTGTCGACCGGAAGTATAAAACATCTAGTTAAATGTAAAATTAATATTAAAAGTAATAGTACATTAGTATAGAAATTAACTGACAAGCAAGCTAATTAATATAGACATTTTAATATTAAAATTATTTTAGATAACAGTTTGTAACATTTATTTTATATTTTATAACATTAAATACTTGCAATCCCAGTACTCATAGCTCCCCCACCCATTGATTGCATAATATTGTAATATCACTTTGATGGCAACTTTTATTTTATAGACACGTATACAGTATTATATTTCTTATGAAGCAATAATTTTTAAAACATATTCAATACAAACAGTAATCTGCTATTAATAATAATAATAATAATAATAATAATAATATTGAAATTAATATAACGAACGCTAATATTCTGTGTTCTCATAAAGAGTATTCAAAAAGTGTATTATATTCTTGCATTCATTTCAAATAAATCTCATAATTTACTGTTTGTTTTGGTCTAAAGTTGTTAATTAGTAAAAATAGTAAAACATATCGTGCGATGAAAATGAAGAGTTTCTTAATTATAAGTTTCATACATTGAGATTCAATGGACGAGTGAATGGTTTTAACAGCGATTTCGCAAAACTAGAGAATCTCTTAACGCAAGAGAAAGCAATGATTGAGTCGTTGAGTGTTCGAAGAGGTCCTCAATTCTCGCATAAGACGACTGACAGACAACTCGTTGAGTATGAACTCAATTGCACTGAAAGAGGACACTTTGTTACACACGAGTAACACACGCCTTTCACGGCAATGATAATAATTATTTTGTGAATTACCCTGTTGCTTTTCTTGGCTAATTACGTAAAGAACATCACACACATTATTTGTGGTCATAATCCCTGTCCACCGCAACCACTAAACCAGTAAACCTGACATTACCTGAAACGCTATGAAAGTCTCTGTGGTTTTGACACTAACTCTGGCCGTTGTGTCGGCAAAAAGTATTCAATAATTGGAGATATATTTCAATATATTAAACGCGTTTCACATATAAAACTAATTTTATATAATATTTTGAAAACTTGATTACAGCGCCGGCTATTAAACTGAACGCCGGTTACGAGATACCTCAGTTAGGTCTGGGCACGGGGAGGGCTACCGGTGCTCAATGCACTCAGGCTGTTATGGACGCCCTGGAGATCGGGTTCAGACATATAGATACGGTTTTGCCCGTACTTAGTTTCCAAGTCAATATAATAAACTTGCCCAGTTATTAAGATAATACTTATGACACCTCGTAGTCATATAGAAATAAGTAATCATTTATTGTTTTAAACATTGACCTGTCACCAATCTCAATAAAAGTAAAAACTAGTTACAAATAAACCCAAAATAAAAGTTTTCACAAACTTTATCCAAAAGTTTGCGGCGAAAAGCCGTACGAAAAGTGCATTCAATACAATAGTATTGCCTCAATAGCGCACTCTATCGCACAGTCAGCGCACGTGTTATACAACACACACGCGAGTCATGTGTTTGTGTTTTCAAAAGGCTTTTCACAGTCACAGTGCGTTCACTGAAGTAGAGGCCTATCACCGCAACTGATCCCAAGACATGTCCGCCAAACCGGTGACCAATTGGCGAGAGAAACATAAACTCATCAAAGAGTGGAAACAGAAGAAGAAGTTGAGGCAAAAGCAGAGGACAGACGCGTTGGCCACCGATGGACAGACATCTCAGACAACGGTTGTCGATAACGGCGTGAAGACTGTGGACACGGATCAGCACCCGATGGACACCAGTGTTGATGATATGCGGGCGCCGGTGGCCAGTGAGGGGTCGAGTGGTGGCCGTAAATGGACGGCCAGTATAGCCGTTCCCTTCAGTATCGTCGACAACGCGCAGTCACCGGAGCTGAAGGCCTACCTCTGCGGACAGATAGCCAGAGCACTGGTAGTCTTCAATGTGGACGAGATTGTGGTGTTTGACGAGTACTCCAGACAGACGTCGGGTGTTGAGTTGAAAAGGCCTAAACTCAAATAACTAACTGACCAGTGGACATATTTTTAATTAGATCAGTGGTATAGACGTGTCTTGATCCCAGAATTAAGTCCACATTAAGTAGACTTCAATGCAATGATAATTGTTTTTGGTATGAATTTTTGTCGTATATTTTGCGACAATAAAAACCTAATGAAAACTAAATTAATTGTTTTTGTTTATTAAGCTACTTTGTATGACATACACATTTATATTATATAAGCTGATGTTATTGTATTTTCTTATTTCAAAATAAATGTTATCTAAGCAATATAATACTGTATATGTTTTTGTTTAATGTTTAAAACTATACAAAACTTGAGTACTATATATCTGATCGATTTATTTAGTTAAAAATTAGTACTAATACAGAAATATTTTAATTTGAAGCATTTGCAATATGTTTATCAATGTTCTGACCATTAAATAGGACAGATATTGTAGACATAATAATGGTCAAACATTTCTGGTCACCCAAATTTCCTGTGGCTCCCTTTTTAATTTTTTCCAGACAATTATAAGCTTTTAATTATAATGATTTTATAGGATCTGGTTCATGAGACCAAATACACTAATAAACATGTCCTTTATATCTCATTCTTTAAAATGAATACCATTTTGATGACAAAATTTAGTGAAAATGTAATAATTTAATTGTTTTAATGTTGCGACTGTTTATATGAAAAATGAGTGCATTATATAAAGCCCATTGACTGGAAAATAAAATAATGCAGTCTTCCCATGTCAATGGCTTTATTATGGATATACTTATAGATATTTTATTTACTAAGGTTTCATATTGAACTCTAATAAACAGTCTATCATTTGACATATTAAAAATAATTTTAACTTATAAAGTTAAAATTTTATTACAATTTAAAATCAATCAGATATATAGTACTCAAGTTTTGTACTAGCATTTCATTTAAACATTATTTCTATGCATTATAAAACTATTTAAAAAATAATATTTAATATCTGATTATAAAAATATCATAAATGATATATTAAACACATAAAGGTAAAAGAATAACTAACACGTGTATTCTACAGTCTCAAATTGTTTTTAACAATTTGATATAAAATTATTATCTAATAAATACATTAAGCCATAAAAACATTTCATAAATTTTAGTGATTTGTTTTCTAGTACCAATAAAAATGTAACATAAATACAGTATTTGTTACACAAATTTGATATAACTTACCTTGACCTTTAAACTAAATTTATGACCACTAATATAATCGTACCATTTATGATCTAGTTTATATCAGTGTTATTACAGATTTTTATTTCACAATCAAATCTCACTTTGTTTTTGAGTTGTATTAATAGAAAGACTTTTATAATATTCCGCTTATTATTAGTAAAAGTTTCGCAGAATTTATAATAAATTTTGCAATAATTTACTATAAATTGTGTGAAAATGTCTACACTTTTAGAAAAGTTTCGTATTTGCGATACGATTGACACGAATATTAAGTATGAAATGAAATTATTTCACGTTTTCAACGACTCTAACGACAAAAACAATATACTTTTTGTCACAAACAATGACTCAGTCTATGGTTTGGGCGCTAACTGTAAGGGGTGTCTGGGTTTGGGTCACGACATTGAAGTAAAAACACCGCAAATGATACCCGAATTGTGTGACCAAAGGATCCGACAGTTTATCAATGGCTCGGACTTTGTGTTGGCTATCAATGAGGACAACCATGTGTTCAGTTGGGGACACAATCATAGCGGACAGTGCGGTCGAAAAGTGACACCATTTCGCGTGTATTTAAAACCGGAAGTCATATCTTATTTGAACGACAAGAATATTACACATATTTGTTGCGGTAGTGGACACACACTGGCGCTCACCACCGGTGGACAGGTGTACGGGTGGGGCAGTAATAGCTCGGGACAGATAGGGTGCGGGGATAATAAAAATCACGTAATCTGTGCACCAGTTATGATAGTATTTGAAAATAAATTTAAAACACAAAATATTTTCTGTTATAATAACAACTCGTTTGCCATTACTATGAATGGTATGGCATTCAGTTGGGGTGATAATAGACACCATCAAACTGGACATCATTGTAAAGATCATATATTGTCACCCAAACTGATCCCACAGTTGAATAAAATTAGTTCAATAAGTTCAGCGGTGTCTACGAAATTGAGTAGGATCAATTTAACGTATTTTCTATCAAATAGTAATATTGTGTACTTTTGTGGGCAATATGTTAATGATATCAATGAGCCAACTGTGCAAACAACCCCGGTACAAATTGCTTTTAGATTGAATGCACAGTTATTTAGCGAGGTTCATTCATTTGCGCAAAGTACCATGGCAATTATATTAAGTGACAAGGTAGTTTGTGGTATTGTATCACCAAATGAATTGAAAAAATATGACTATGACAATTTTACTGATTTCTATGCTATCGAGTGTAACGTAAGTTACAATACATTAACTGTACTGGATACTTTAAACCAAAGTGATAATATAATGATAACCCCGGTGAAACAACATGCAAAATTAAATAAATCACCAAATATTACATCAGATAATGGTATTACTCAATCAAATATATTTAAAAATTTATTTTTAAATATATTTTATGTTTATCACAATCCAGAGTACAATCGGTTTGAAAGTTATTTCATGAAATTCTTTGAGGAGTTGTCGACAATAGGTTCGGGAGGTTTCGGAACAGTATTCAAAGTAAAGCATAGATTCGATGAACAGTTATATGCCGTCAAAAGAGTGCAAATTAAAGGTACAAAAAGTTTATATTTATGTTTTATAAATAATTTTTTTTATTTTTTAGAGTCTACTAAAGAATACTTAGAAAAAGTTTATAAAGAAGCGAAAAAGTTAAGTAAATTGAGTCCAGATTTTGTGGTTCAGTATTACAACTCGTGGAACGAAAGCAAACACCTCTACATTCAGATGGAGTACTGTTCACAGAATTTAAGGAATATTCTTGAAGTGAAAGCACAAGTATTTGGCAGAGAATTAGGAGATGGCATGGATTGTGTCGAGTATTTCATTTCGTGTGAAATATTGCGACAAATCTTAGAAAGTGTTCAGTATTTGCATGAATTGGATCCACAGATCATTCACAGA